TATCCAAAACAGCTCATGTTTTTCCCCAAAACACTTTGTGATCACCCAAGGCAGGGTCACCCGGAGCAGGTGACACGGGGACAGCTCCAGGTGGGGTTGGGATGTCTCCAGAGGGAGGTTCCAGCTGTTCCAGGGCTGCAGGGAATGAAGTTCTTCCTCAGGGTGAGGTGGAACTCGTTGTGTTTTAATTTATGGCCACTGCTCCTCGTCCTGTCCCCGAACAGAGCCTGGCACCACCCTCTGACACCTCTTGGGGACATTTTTTGGGAGCAGACAGATGCCACCTGCCAGTGCTGCACCAGTACAGGACACAGCACTGGGACAGTGGAAGGTGTCCATGGCAGGGGATGATCTTCAAGGCCCTTTTCACCCCAAACCATTCCAGGATTCCATGAAAAAAGCAGAGTTTACTTGCAGCACCCACCCCTGGGAGCTGTCCCTGCCAGTTCTGAAATCCAATGTCCCAAGACACCAAACCCATTCCCAGTTTCTCCAACTGTCTCCAGCCCAGCTTGGTGAGTTATTCCCTAATTTCAGGGAAGCTGTGGATAAACAGATTGGATTAACTGTGCCAAGTGTCCAAGGAGCATCGTGGCCTCCCAGTCCCAGCCAGCTCCAAGAGAGCAGGAGGCTCTTTGTGCTCTGGGAGTGACATGGGCACAGCAAAGCCAGGGAACAGCCAGTTCCTGGGAGCAGCTGTCTGGAAAACACCTGGATTTGGGTTTCAACCTGGAGCAGGGAATGCCATGAGGCTCCAGGATTTGAATTCAAACCTGGAGCAGGGAATGCCATGAGGGTCCAGGATTTGAATTCAAACCTGGAGCGGGGAATGCCATGAGGCTCCAGGATTTGAATTCAAACCTGGAGCAGGGAATGCCATGAGCCAGTTCCTGGGAGCAGCTGTCTGGAAAACACCTGGATTTGGGTTTCAACCTGGAGCAGGGAATGCCATGAGGCTCCAGGATTTGAATTCAAACCTGGAGCAGGGAATGCCATGAAGGTACAGGATTTGAATTCAAACCTGGAGCAGGGAATGCCATGAAGGTACAGGATTTGAATTCAAACCTGGAGCAGGGAATGCCATGAAGGTACAGGATTTGAATTCAAACCTGGAGCAGGGAATGCCATGAGGCTCCTGGATTTGAATTCAAACCTGGAGCAGGGAATGCCATGAGGCTACAGGATTTGAATTCAAACCTGGAGCAGGGAATGCCATGAGGCTCCAGGATTTGAATTCAAACCTGGAGCAGGGAATGCCATGAGGCTCCTGGATTTGAATTCAAACCTGGAGCAGGGAATGCCATGAGGCTCCTGGATTTGAATTCAAACCTGGAGCAGGGAATGTCATGAGGCTCCTGGATTTGAATTCAAACCTGGAGCAGGGTGAACAGGAGACAACAATTCTGCTTCCGTAATTCTGCCAGGACATGAATTCCCAGTTCCCAGGGATCTCCAGCTGCTCAGGAACCTGCACTCACTCAGCTGTGAAAGGCATGGGTTCCAGCCACATGGAATTCCATGCCTTTCAGCATCTCCCTGGAGAGCTTTGGGAATTTGGGATGTCACATGGTCTGGGAAAATTCCTTGGGGTCCTCTCCCAGTTTCCCTGTGTGAGGAACAGGAAAGTCCTGTCCAGCAACAACAGAACTCAGGATGATCAGCACAAATCCAGAGTCAATCCCAGAGCAGCCTTGGGGAGGAAAATGAACTCTGGCCCAGTCCAGAGCAACACAGGCTGGTTTGGGGACACAGGACAAGGATTCCTTCCCATTGCCACATCCAGATGCCATTCCAAGCCTGGATATGGGAACTGGCCTCAAAAATAAATGAGGAGAGCAGGAGGCAGGAAGGGAACCTTTGGAATGTCTTCCCAAGGAAACAGGGAATGAATTCCTTGTTTTGCTTTTCCTGTTGAACTTTATCCCAACACATTCATTCCCTCACTTTCACCCTTCCCATTCTCTCTCCATCCCATAAGTGGGGAGGGATTCAATGGGGCATGGCTGCCCTTTGGGGTTAAATTACAAAATTTTGGCTCAGCCCAGCCTAAATTGGGAGTTTTGCATAATTTAGATTAGCTGAGCTTTGCCTACTGAGCCCAACTGGCTCCACACAGCCAAGGAGAGGCCTCCTGACGACATTTACATCCAAATTTTGGGCAGATCTGCAGCCCAGAGTCGGGATTTGTGAGGATAAGGGAAGCAGATGGAACCATATAAAATCCAGCCATGAAAACCAGACTGCAGCACAAGTGCTGTGGGTGGAAATCCAGACCTCCTGAAATATTCTAAAGCTACAAAGGAAGGAAGACATTTCCAGAATTAAAAAATGATTTTTTTTTTTAAAAGCACCACCTTTGAGACAATCAAGATTGAGAAGAATCTAAACCCAGAGATGGGTGGTCCTTATGCTAAGACCTAAATAAAAACACCACAAAACCCACTCTGAGATTCTTCTCAGTTTTTTTTATCCAGACATTGGAAAACTGACCACAAGCAATTCCCAACCCCCTTCCCTATCCCAGAATTCCCAGACATACCATAAGCTTCATAGGTTTCCTGTGCCTCCCCATGTCCATAATCATAATATTCTGTATCCCTGGAAAAGCAACGAGGTGGTTACACAAAGGGAAATCCCATTCCTGATGCTTGGTGTCATTCCCTGGATTCCAGCAGAACTCTACAGCTCAGGAATGTTTCTATTGGCTTCAAATGGGATTAAAAAAAAAGGGAAAGGGGGGAAAGGGGGGAAAAAGGGGGGAAAAAGGGGGGAAAATTGAGGAAAAAATGGGGAAATATTGGGGGAAAATTGGGGGAAAATTGGGGGGAAAATTGGGGAAAATTGGGGAAAATTTGGTGAGAAAATGTGGAAAAAAGAGAAAAAATTGGGGGAAAATTTGGTGAAAAAATGAGGAAAAATGAGGAGAAAAATTGGGGAAAAATAGAGAAAAATTGGAAAAAATTGGGGAAAAAATGGAGAAAAAATGGGGAAAATTGGGCGAAAATTGGGGAAAAATTGGGGGAAAAATGGGGGAAAAATAATGAAAAATTGAGGAAAAGATGGGTAAAAAATGGGGAAAAATTTGGGGAAAAATGAGGAAAAAATGGGAGAAAAATTGGGGGAAATTTGGGTTAAAAATGGGGAAAATTGAGAAAAATTGCAGGGGAATTTGGGGGAAAAATGAGTAAAAATGGGGAAAAAATGGAGAAAAATTGGGGGAAAATTGGGGGAAATTTGGGGAAAATTGGGTAAAAAATGGGGGAGAAATGGGGAAAAAATGGGGAAAAAATAGAGAAAAAAAATGGGGAAAAATTGGGAGAAATTTTGGGGAAAAAATGAGTAAAAATGGGGAAAATTGAGGAAAAAATGGGTAAAAAATTGGGGAAAAATTGGGAAAAAATGAGGGAAAATTTGGGAAAAATTGGGAAAAAATGAGGGAAAAAAGGGGGGAAAATTGGGGGAAAATTGGGGGGAAAATGAGGAAAAAATGGGTAAAAAATTGGGAAAAAATGGGGGAAAAATTGGGGAAAATTGGGGGAAAACTGGGGGAAAAATGGGGGAAAATTGAGGAAAAAATGGGGGAAAATTGGGGGGAAAATGGGGGGAAAATGGGGAAAAATTGAGGAAAAAATGGGTAAAAAATTGGGAAAAAATTGGGAAAAAATGAGGGAAAAAAGGGGGGAAAATTGAGGAAAAATTGGGGAAAATTGGGGGAAAATTGGGGGAAAATTGGGGAAAATTTGGTGAGAAAATGTGGAAAAAAGAGAAAAAATTGGGGGAAAATTTGGTGAAAAAATGAGGAAAAATGAGGAGAAAAATTGGGGAAAAATAGAGAAAAATTGGAAAAAATTGGGGAAAAAATGGAGAAAAAATGGGGAAAATTGGGGGAAAATTGGGGAGAAAATGAGGGAAAATTTGGGAAAAATTGAGGAAAAAAGGGGGGAAAATTGGGGAAAAATTGGGGAAAAGTTGGGGGAAAATTGGGGAAAAATTGAGGAAAAAGGGGGGAAAAAGGGGGGAAAAAGGGGGGAAAATTGAGGAAAAAATGGGGAAATATTGGGGGAAAATTGGGGGAAAATTGGGGGGAAAATTGGGGAAAATTGGGGAAAATTTGGTGAGAAAATGTGGAAAAAAGAGAAAAAATTGGGGGAAAATTGGGGGAAAAATGGGGGAAAATTGGAGGAAAAATGAGGAGAAAAATTGGGGAAAAATGGAGAAAAATTGGAAAAAATTGGGGAAAAAATGGAGAAAAAATGGGGAAAATTGGGGGAAAATTGGGGAAAAATTGGGGAAAAATTGGGGGAAAAATGGGGGAAAAATAATGAAAAATTGAGGAAAAGAAGGGTAAAAAATGGGGAAAAATTTGGGGAAAAATGAGGAAAAAATGGGAGAAAAATTGGGGGAAATTTGGGTTAAAAATGGGGAAAATTGAGAAAAAAATGGGGGAAATTTGGGGGGAAATTGGGAAAAAATGAAGAGAAATGGGGAAAAATAGGGGAAAAATTGGGGGAAAAATTGGAGGGGAATTTGGGGGAAAAATGAGTAAAAATGGGGAAAAAATGGAGAAAAATTGGGGGAAAATTGGGGGAAATTTGGGGAAAATTGGGTAAAAAATGGGGGAGAAATGGGGAAAAAATGGGGAAAAAATAGAGAAAAAAAATGGGGAAAAATTGGGAGAAATTTTGGGGAAAAAATGAGTAAAAATGGGGGAAAAATGGGGAAAAAATGGGGAAAAAATGGGGAAAAATTTAGGAAAAAAATGGGGGAATTTGGGTAAAAATCGAGGGAAAATTAAGGAAAAATTGGAGGGAAATTGAGGGAAAAATGAAGAAAAAAAGGGTAAAAATTGGGGAAAAAAAAACCCTGAAAAATTGATTTAAAAATTCCTAAAAAATGGAGCCAAATTCCCCTGGAATGACCCCAAAAAATCCCCCAAAAAATCCCAAATTTCCCTTCCAAAATCCCGAATTTTCCCCCCAAAATTCTCCCAAAAATCCCGAAAAATCCCCAAAATCCCAGAATTCCCAAAAAAATCCCAAATTTCCCCTCCAAAATCCCGAATTTTCCCCCCAAAATTCTCCCAAAAATCCCGAAAAATCCCAAAAATCCCAAAATTCCCAAAAAATCCCAAATTTCCCCTCCAAAATCCCGAATTTTCCCTCCAAAATTCTCCCAAAAATCCCGAAAAATCCCAAAAATCCCAAAATTCCCCCAAAATTCTCCCAAAATCCCAAATTTCCCCCCCCCAATGGGGGTCAAAGGTCGCGTCCTCAGCCCCGGGGGAGGTGGGGGAGGGGCG